GGGGGGGGGTTTGCTCCAAGGAAGCGGGACGCCACAGCCGGGACGCAGGAACCGGGCGGTAACCTACCGTTCGAACTTGCTGCTTAACCCCCCTCAGCTAGTTCTAGCACCATGCCACACAAGAGGTGTGCACGCTGCTCTCTCTGTCTCTCTTCGTTCTCTGGGTCGGGTTTTCCTCAGCAGCGGGGGCACATGCAGAATCAACACCTGTGTGCTACGTGCCTTTCCCCCTAAGAGCTCCTTGTCCGCCCATCCTGTGAACGGTTTTCCCTGTATAGTTTTCTCCCTGTGTCTTTCTCTCTTCCTCTCTCTCGCTCACACACCCTCTGTGTGTACCTACAGTACACCTCTCTCTCGCTCGCTCTCTTTCTTTCTCTCTCTTTCTCCCGCTCGCTCAGTGTTTTTGCTCTAGACCACGCTTGCTGCCGTGCACCTTACCCTCGCCCTATCCCAAAGCACCCACCTCCGCGATGTCGGCTCGGCTCTCCTCTGCCGCTCGCTTCCCAATGTCCGGCACGCCCCCCGCACCAAGCCCCCTGGTGACGTCATTTCCGATCTGCAAGGTCTTGATCGCCTCCGGGATGCTGTTGATCGCCTGCGTCAAGCCACAGATAACACGCATTAAACGGGTCAGAACGCGCCGCGAGGGAACGACGTAGTTCACGGGAGAGGCGGAAGTGCAGGGCAAGGGCACCGGGAACAGGGGGGAGGTGGGCCGGGGCGAGGGTGCGAGGTGGAGGAGCGGAAGCGAGCGGCAAATGTGTCCGACGGTCGTAAGGTGACTGTGGCCTCTAGGGCGGACTGGACGCATCATCAACAAGTATACCTACACGTCTCAGCATGGCCGAAAACTTAGACACAAACACGCACATGGCTAGCACCGCAAACCCGGTCAAAACACTAGATTGTCACAACGTATCTCTTCCATACCTGGTGGTGTTCGCTCGCCACAACGGAAAGAAACGGACCATACATCTCAGCCATGCACCAGGCACCGCAACAACCTAAACGGGATACGCCACGGCCAGCCCAGCCGGAATACGGGACAGGGCAGGGCTACCCACCCACCTGGGCATCGGTGTTGAGGCACCAAAACTCCACCCCGGGTATGGTCTGCTGATTCATCCGCACGACGGCATTACCGCCACCGCCCCCCACGCCCACCACCTAACAACCAGTCGGGGAGGGGGTGGGGGTTGAAGCTTGCAAGAATGAGGCAGGAGTAGGATGATGCTCCTCCCCATCGTCAGGACCGTTGTTGTTGTTGTTGTTGTTGTTGTTGTCTGCGCGCCCAGAGTCGTTGCCTCTCGCTTCCCGTGCCGGATCAGCTTCAGAAAGGGAAAGGTCTCGTGATACATGACAGGTAGGCTTGGCTTGGCGTGACGCAAGGGGAGAGTTTGTATGTATGTTCCTCGAAACATACCTCAGAATAAACACGGCTATCGCTCTTGTGTAATGGTACGCCGGTCGGCCTCTACACTCCGCACGTTCGTCAAAGGCTGCCTGTCTATTCACCTACCGTTCCAATCAAGTCCATGCCAAAGACCTGACACAAGAGGTTCCTGCACACACCCGTTTGCAGAAACGACCGACGAGGCTCGGCCTGACTTTGTCACGTGGGGCGAACCTCGAGAATTTCAGACTTTTGCGAGGGATTTACCGTACGTGACACAAGACACCACATCCCTTGAGTGATTCTCAAAGCTCGATTGCTCCAAGGCCGAAAGAGCGGTGGCGCCGAAAACGGCGGCGTTAGAACTGTTTTGTCGAGAGTTTCCCTGAACATATCCTTTGGATTATACATCATCTTCGTCGTGACTAATCGTGCTTTGAAGTTCGGTCCAGGGTGCGATACCTTATTGTCGCCGACGATGATAGCGTACGCAGCACCCGGTGGATTGGCTTCGCACTTTTATCCCCTTTCCCACAACCCAGCCTCTCCCATTCTTGCAGCGAGCTTTTAAATCTATACCCTCCCCCCCAATCCATCATCTGTGCTCTATAGTGCGTGCTGCGGGCGCGGAGGTTATTTGTCGGATGTCGAGAATGTGGATAGAACGGGACTCACAGGTTCCCAATATACCACTCACCCTTGACCGATTTTCAAAGCCCGACTGCACTCTGCAGCGCAAACATTGACGGTGCCGAAAAATGTCCTCGACGGAACCATCTCTCGTCGAGAACTTCCCGAAAAACGCGCAATTCATTTTGGTACGCTATTCGCCCTTAGGAGTAAACGAGTTTTGAACAGTGGTGAAGCGGGTGGGTGTGGTATCTTGCGCAACCTCTGGCACTTTGGCATTTTGAAGCCCAAAGTTACGTGTAATGGCGATGATAGGAGTAGGTAGCTGAAGGCGAGTCTTTTCGGGGGGGTGGCACGACCCGTGGGGTGTGAATGTAGCTTCAACAACATTGCCCATCACACAGCAGTACACTCAGCCCGAGACGGTCTTCGAAGGATCTAGGAAAAATACGCCAATTACCAATCCGTTCTGTTCATTTTGAAGCGCGGCAACAATGTCGCCGCAAAAAATATGATGCCTTTCTTGCTCAAACGCGATTGACTTCGTGCTTGTTGACGCCCGTGTCTTCGCAACGGCACTAAGAAAACCTAGCTACGGCAGTTCACCTCACCTTGATGATGCACGGAGACACTCCGCCCTCCGGAAGAATCTCCGCTCGCAACGATGCCACTCCTCCCCCGTCCCTTCCGATCCTCCCGCCGACGACGCTGCTGCTGGTCTTCGTCCCGCCGCCGCCCCGTGATGATGCGCCGCCGTCCTCCAGCCAGCAAAATTTGGCGCCATCATCGCACAGCACTGTAGCAGGAGGAAGTACCGAAGAGATGCTGGGGTGCAAGAAGGCCACGGCCGTCGGTAGGACGAGCAGCACTAGCGCTGCCGTTGTCCTGGCCGATACCGCTCGCCGAACCCTCCTGCACTTGACCATGTTTGGATTTGGATGCGCACACGGCAGAGGGCGACTCGCCCGCTCCAAACGGCAGCCTCTGCCCGAACGTTGGGGTTGAAGAGAGTGTAGCGGCTACCGGGTGGTCAGGGGTCGTTCCTCGTTTCGGATGGTGGGTACGTGTTGTTCGCGACGTTGGATACGCGGATTGCGCGTGGGGGGGGATGAGACTGAGATGTCCCCGAGTATCCCAAGAGAGGCGTTTTCATTTTCAGAGGTAACACACGTCTGCGTTTCCTCTCTTCGCTCTCTCCCCCCCCGCCCCTTCCCCTGTCTTTCGCAGTGGCCCACCTTTACAATCACTCTGCTCGTACACTACATACCGGGGTAAATACTGTGGTACCCCGAGCGACAGTATTTGTCTGCGGGAAGCACACGCAGAAATTAATTAGTCTAATCATCACAGCAGCAGTGGTATCCGGGCGCATCCGAAAATCAGTGTGTCAGATTCTACATCCAGATACTGTCCATCCGTAGTCTATTATAGTTGTCATTGTCATGTCCTCTTCTCCGGCATGTGAGAATTTACAGAGAATGCACCACCTGTCGCTGGGCGCAGATCGCAGGAACTGACAATTTATTGCGGCCAAGGGGGGTGGGAAACTGTGCCGTTGGGGGCTCTCATCGCGATAGTACTCCGTCCGTGGCGTGCGAGCGTGTGTCTACCTAGTACCTATGCACATAACTATCCTGCACCAGGCGGAACTGCAGTGAGGGTTTCAAATTGGTATGCACATATGCATATGTACGACGCATAAGAACTTGAAGCCGGCCTCATGCGAAAACCTACGTAGTTACTGTGGGAAAAACAGATGGGTTTGCGCAATATAGTAGGCTTTGAGGTCCAAGCGCAAACAAGCGCACACCGCATGTATGCAAACCTCTATATGCCACAAAAAGCGAACACGCTTTCCTACATAGATAGATGGTTTGGTTCCCATGGCGTCAATGAACCTCCACTGTGAGGACTTGGCACGTGGTCCCTTGCAGCATCGCTTCCTGAGTGCGGGTAGGCCTTGTGTGATGCGATGCACAGTGCGTACAAAAAAAGAGGAACAAAAAAGTAGAGAATGCCAAAATTTACACAGAAAACGACAGTAGTGCAATGCACGCACACCACAGGCGCAACCAGCCCGGCACGTTAACGGCGGCGTTTAGGCCGAAGCATGCAACGAGAGCGGTGCGCCACATAGTAACAAAGTTGAACCGAGAAAAGACAACACAGGAAACACCCAAAAGATACAGCAGGATATCGAAAAGGCAAACAGGTTGTTGGCAGCTCAGACTACGAGACAAGCGTAGCCAACACGTTACGAATGCTTTCACGAGAGAGAAGTGGCTAGCTAATGGACTCAAGAAAAATTTGCACCCTTGTCAAGAGAAAAAATCCCCGTCGCTTCCAAGGCAGGTGCGAGCGAGCAAGGGCGACCTTCACCCAAGAGGAGAGAGAGAGAGAGAGAGAGAGAGAGAGAGAGAGAGAGAGAGAGAGAGAGAGAGAG